CCTTTGGCTCAGCATGTGTGAACGCTGTGCCAAGGGAGCGCCTCGACACCTCCCGCCATGCGGTGGGGCATGTGGCGTGATGGCTTGGGATGGAGTTGGGGCGTGCAGCGTGCGTTCGTCATGCTCCCACTCCCTTCCGATGCCAGCCCTTTTGGCCGGTCTGTGTAGCCCCTAAGTGTGCGAAAGAAGTTGTAGCATAAACTTTCGTAGACTTGGTCTACTTCCTCAGACGTATGAGGAAAGGTTTCAGCCTAGAAAATTTCTCCTTCGCTCTTTCTGATTATAGACAAGATCCTTTTCCATTTAGTGAAAAGCCTTTCTGAATTGGAAGTTGTGATGATGCATCATGATTATCCATCATGTCTGTGACACGCAAGCATTGTTACTAGTAGAGTTTCCCAAGGCAGACAGGGTTTTGCTGAGGAGCCAAATTAAATGTGCCAAACAGTTACCAGGCAGGAGTACTAGTCTGTGTGTGGGTGTGGTTTTGTGTGACACTGATGGAGGATCTCTCAGGGACATTTTAGCTAACTCTTCTTAGGAGGCAACGGATACCATGAACTGATAAGAAGACAAAGAAATGAGTCCAAGAGCAAATCAACCTTGAACTCTTCCTAGAAGTCGAAATGACAAAAATGTGTCTATCAAACTTTGGATGCATCATGAGACAAGGTAACTTGTTGGAAAAGACAATAATGCTCAGCAAAGTTGAAAGCAGTGGGGGGGGAATCACATTACACATGGATTTACTTAACTATGGGCCTTTGCAGACTGCCAGAAATAGTGCAAATTGAGTCCACTTTAACTGCCCTGACTCAGTGTTAGGGAATCATGGGAACTGTAGTTTATTGTGGCACCAGAGCTCTCTGACAGAGAAGGCTTAATGTCTCAGAAAAAAATACAATTCCCATGATTCCCTAGCACTGAGCCAGGGCAGTTAAAGTGTACTCAATTTGCACTATTTCTAGCAGTCTGCAAAAGCCCTAAGAAAGCCACAGCCTTGAACTGGTAAGACTGAGCAGGGCTCTTGGTGAATGGGGCTCTTGGAGGTTTCTCATTCATAGGGTTAGTGTAAATCAAATCCAGGTTGTTAGCAAATAACTACAGTAATACATACACACATGTAAGATAACATTTTAAATTTATTTTCTTACTTCATGATCCATCCCTCCTTCCAAAGCCACTGCCAGTCAGAAGAGACCATTTTGGGCAAAGGGGGCACATACCCAAACTTGGCATAAGCAGAGCATGAAAAAGTTACAGCTTTGGATTGCAGCTCCCATGATCCCCTAGCAAACATACACGGAAGCTGAGCTTAATAATTCTCCTATTTTAAATTATTTAGATTTGCTATTTTTACACCCTACCTTTCTTGCTTGAAGGAACTCAAAACTAATAGGAAAGACCTAGCCTCAGCCTCGCTGTGGGTAGCAGTTTGCACCATTCCTTATCTCAAGTAGAGGCTGATGGCTCTGATATCAATGAAGCTGTAAATCTGGTCCAGATTGTATTATGAATATTAGACCATCTATCCAAGGTGCTGAACTTACTTTGGGCTTACGGTCCAACATCTTGGAAAGTGTCTTTAGTGTCTGGACAAAATCCTGGACTGGATTCATTGTCCCACTCACATGGAAGCCACCAGCGGACACCACCTCCCTCAAATAAGTATGCATTCCTTCTAAGACCCAGACACCTGGCTCCTTTTCTTCCACCCACACAAACTTTAAAATCCAAGATGGATGAGAATCAGGGACTCAGATTGTAGAACTTATGCTCCAAAAGGGTTTCATATGAACAGTTTTTTTTTTTTGTTATCAAACTTTGAGATAAACTGAAGATTTGACTTAAAATGAGAAAAATTAGAAACTATTTCATCCATCTCTCGACCAAGAAGAAATGTACCTTATCATCTTGAAAACGTTCATGGTCTGAGATTGCCATGGGCAGCTCTATTAGAGTATTCACATGCTAACAGGATATGGAACAAAAGGACAGCTATGTACACTGAACTGGACTCGGCTAACTTTAAAACGCCTCCACTTTTAGGAGG